CTCACCGTGGACCAGGAAGACTTATCTGCAGTAGCCGAGTATGGGAGTTTCAAGGCATGGGCGATCAGTTCGACCAAGGGTCGGGATGGACAAGACGTTCCCCCTCCACCGCACATATATGGAGGAATTACCTGGACATGCTCAACACTCCGCCGGCGGTTTCGATTTGTTAGCGGTAACACACCCCTCGAACCCATACAAGCAGAATCCCCAGCACCTCTCACCGATGCCCCTGCAACGATCGATCAGCAAGGCGAAGATCCTGACCCAGATATCCCACTTACCCCAGAAGTTGACCCTGTGGACCCTTCCGACTATTTTGGCGATGCTCGGCGCAAATCCTCACAGGGCGAATCAATTGTCGAAACCATCCCCGAAGATCCACTTCTTGATACAGAATCTCGGCGCCATCCCGACGATTTTACCAACGAGGTTCTGCAGGCGCAGATTGCAAGACCTTGCTTCGATTGGACAAGGATTCCGCTCATGGATGACCTTCCTGAGCATATTCGGTTGGCTAGGACTACGGATTGGTCTTCAACGTCTTTGGGGCCTACTGAAGATTGGCCACATGAACTGAGGGCCATGTCTAATCTTGTCATGGGTAGCCCGCACCCGGCGGCTCTTTATTGGGGACCCGATTTTGTTTCCATATACAATGCTGCCTACATAGACTTGGCAGGTCAAAAACACCCCCACCTAATGGGAGCGAAATATACAGAGGCTTGGGCCGAAATCTGGGATGACATTTCTCCAGTTTTCCAGGCTGCCTGGGAATCCGGGCAAGCGACCATGAAAAACGACAATCAACTCTTCATCAACCGACATGGATTCTTGGAGGAAACTTTCTTCTCATGGTCCATTGTGCCCCTTGTGGGTGCAGATGGCGAGGTTGTGGGACTGTACAATCCAGCTTTTGAGAACACAAGGAGGAAAGTTACTGATAGACGGATGCTCACCCTTCGTGAAATAGGAGAACGAACGTCTCTAGCCACAAGCATGAAAGGTTTCTGGCCTCAAGTCCAAAAGGGACTCGAATACAACGAACACGACGTCCCATTTGCCCTATTGTACTCACTCAAGGACGATGCCGAGAGCGAAGTCTCCTCCTTACACTCAGCCAGCCTCCACAGCACACAGTTGTGGCTCGAGGGGTCTATCGGTGTTACTGCAGACCATCCCGTCGCTGTCGAGTCCCTGGACCTGCGTGCCTCGGACGAAGGATTTGCACCTTATATGCGTCAGTGCATGGCGTCCGGTGGAAGTGCGGTGGTTTTATCTACCGAAGATGGAACTCTGCCAGCCGACTTAATTGAGGGTCTAGATTGGAAAGGATTCGGGGACCCATGTAGAACCATCGTCGTTTTCCCAGTGCTCCCTACCACCGTCGGAGATTCGGTTGTTGGCTTTATCGTCATGGGTGTGAATCCTCGGAGGCCCTACGATGATGATTACAAGCTTTTCATTAATCTCCTTGCACGTCAGCTGGCCACATCCATGGCATCTGTCGTCCTTTTCGAAGAGGAAATTAAGCGTGGTCAGCGAGCGGCGAGACTGGCCGCTTTGGACCGTCAAGAGCTCTCACTACAACTACAACTCAAGTCTCAAGAAGCCGTTGATATCGAATACAGATTCACCCGCATGGCCGAGTTCTCCCCCGTCGGCATGTTCATCGCTGATTCCAATGGTGTAATCAACTACTACAACGAGATGTGGTGGCAAATCTCTCGGGTGTTGCCACACATGAGGGGCGAAGGTGCGTGGATGGATAGCGTTCGGGCGGAGGATAGGCCTGCCCTCGAGCAAGCCTGGCAAAAGCTACTTGAGGAGAAGGTGACGATATCAGTTGAATTTCGGTTCAAGTGTACCCAACAGAACGGCGATTCCACCATTGACACCTGGGTTCTCATGAGTGCCTACCCGGACAAGACCCCAGATGGGGAAATCAACTTCATTTTTGGTTGCATTACAGATATTTCATCTCAGAAATGGGCTGAGAAGTTCCAGAGCGAACGGCGAGAGGAAGCAGTCGAGCTGAAACGTCAACAGGAAAACTTCATTGACATTACAAGCCACGAGATGCGAAACCCCCTTTCCGCCATTCTGCAGTGTGCTGACCAAATCACGAACAACATCACTGCATTCGCTTCGCACGATGTTCGAGGAGAAATAGAAACGCTGTTGGAGAACTGCTTGGATGCTGCTAACACAATCAGCCTCTGCGCAAGCCATCAGAAGCGAATCGTGGATGACATCCTCACACTCTCAAAACTCGATTCGAACCTCCTCAACGTCACGCCTATTGACGAGCAACCCATCAAGGTCGTCCAAAGAGCGCTCAAGATGTTCGAGTCAGAGATTGTCGCCCATGACATTGAATTCGAGTTTCGAGTCGACAAGAGCTTCGAGGAGTACGGTATTAAATGGGTTAAGCTAGACCCTTCTCGACTCAGCCAAGTCTTGATCAATTTGATGACGAATGCGATCAAATTCACTCAGGGACGAGAACGACGGAGCATTGTTGTCAGCGTCGCAGCTTCGAAAGACGTTGAACAAATCACGAAGCAAGAAGGCATTCGTTTCTTTGAGAGAAGCCCCAACGGGCGACCAGCGATGGATATACACAATGAGGAGGAATGGGGAAGTGGTGAGCAAGTAAATATTCACTGCACAGTGGAGGATACCGGCCCAGGCTTGGGGCATGAGGAACTCAAGTTGTTGTTCCAGCGGTTTCAACAAGCCACTCCCCGAACGCATGTCCAATACGGCGGTTCCGGACTAGGCTTGTTCATCTCAAGGATCCTGACTGAAATGCAAGGAGGACAGATCAGTGTGTCCTCTGATCCTGGAACGGGCAGCAAGTTTACCTTTTACATCCAGAGCCGCATCTGCCTCAACCCCCCTGCCGATTACGAACGCATTTCGCCTTTCAAGATAGCACGGAAGATACAGTCGCCAGCCGCAAATTCAAACGCAACCGCAGCCGGGCCTATCGGGAGCAGTCCTGCATCTCGAACCAACTCCGATACCAAGGACAATCCCTACTACGATGTTTTGATCGTGGAAGATAACATTGTGAACCAAAAGGTATTACAGAGACAACTCCGGAATTGTGGCAACAATACCTTCGTGGCGAATCATGGCAAAGAAGCTCTCCAAACTCTACAGCGTTCGAGATTTTGGGCCGGGCAGGAGGCAGAGGGTCTTGACATCTCGGTCATTCTAATGGACTTGGAAATGCCCGTGATGGATGGCATGACATGCGCCCGCAAGATCAGAGAGTTGGAAAAGGAAGGTACAATCATTCAGCATATCCCAATCATTGCCGTCACTGCATATGCGAGGCCTGAGCAAATACAGAGCGCCAAGGCCGCAGGAATTGTGAGTTGAATCCGGTTCCCTTCCTTGCCACCTTTGCATTAGAGTTCATTGCTAAACCGTTATATAGGACGACGTCATCTCGAAACCGTTTCGAATCCCAGAATTGATGCCGAAAATTGAAGAACTTGTCGGCAAATACAAAAGCCTTTCTATCAACAATTGATCGACAACGCATTGTAAGTCGTCGCTACCATCGGCAGAACAATCTCGTCTTGCGCTTGGTTATCTCGACAACTCTATATATTCACGCTCCCATTCTCAGGGAGTGAAAGATTCCATTTCGGCTCCGGCCTCTTCTAAATCGGGGAGACCCTTGTTTTAACATTGATATTGTTATCATTCATATATACATCACTCAAGGCGTTTGTTTGGCATGAAAAGAATGCGGGGAGTACGCGCAAATTATTAAATGGCTTTAGCTTTCTGATTCCCCACCCCTCAAGTTCAGAGGGGAAGAGGGTTGCTCTTGACTTACGAGCCGGCTCGCAAGACCTGCTTATTGGCATTTTTAGGGGGAGGGGCTCTTGTTTTACAGTATCAACACATTACCCACATTGGAGCGTCACGGATTTATTTCATAAGGGTCGTCTTATTATTATTTTCTTATACATTGGCGTACGGAGACGGCTGGAGGAAGGACCATTTTTGCGAAGAACAGAGGGCAGGCAAAGTTAACTTGGATTGATCGATACCTGGACGAGATATACGAGGCATGAGACATACCAGATATGGAACTATCATATGAAGAGTAGGAGCTTGATGTTCCCTGGATGTCAATCCCCTGATTTGTTAATGTAATCTACTGTCGACAGCATGATCAGCCGGCAACATATTTTACGGGCTTTAAAACTCGACACATTTGAAGAACAGAACGAGGGGTTAGAATAAACAAAGACTTAGGTAGCAAGGTAAACTCTATAGAGCAAGACAAACCTAAAAACAATGTCATCCTGTCCCAACTGAAAACTTCTTCCGCGTCAGATCCCAAATCATACCGTGGGCTAACTCAAACAACGACAAACAAAGCTGGCAACTTTCATTAGTAGTCATTCTATGGGACTACACTCGAGCAACTACTCAAATCTCACACATAGAATACAGCACTACGCAGTTACAAGAGACATCAAATCACGACGGACAAATTGCACACAACAGAGGTTGAGAAACGCAAACGATTGTATTATTAGTTATTACGAGTATTCCTTTTCCTCCCCGGGTATCAGATCGACGGAACGGATGCAGCGCACAAGAGAATCAACGGAAAAGGTAACAAAAAAAACCAAAAAGGAGCAAAAAGACGAACGGCAAGCCAAGAGCCGGGGGACAGACCAGACAGTAAGCCAGTACGACCCTTGACTCGCCAGAATGACCGCTCAGGGCCACCCGTATATGCATTGCAAAAAAGACAATAAACGAAAATTGGTATCAGTGAAAGCAGTCTTGACAGGGTATCTTGGTATCATGTGAAGAAATGCAGACAACTTCCTTCCATTCCAACCCTTTCCGTGAGTTTGGTATACTTTTTTTTTCTTTGTAAGTTTTCTCTTTTTGGGGGATCATAAAATTGCGCGGCTAGAGTCTCGGAGCCAGGCCAAGACTCAGCGCCCAACGAACACTCTCTAAGCGGCGGCGGGGACAGGAGCAGGAGCGGCAACAGCCTCGGGCTTGGTCTCCGTAGGCTTAGCCTCCTCCTTGACCTCCTCAGCCTTGGTCTCTTCAGCCTTGGTCTCCTCGGGCTTGGCCTCGGCAGCCTTAGCCTCCTCAGCGGCGGGCTCCTCCTTGACGGCCTCCTCAGCAGGCTTCTCCTCAGTCTTGTGAGAGGTCTTGCCCTTGATGGTGGCACGGAGCTTGGAGAAGGGGCTCTTGGATCTCTCCTCACCCTCACCGGAGGGTGACTTCTCGCGCTTGCCGAGGAAGGGGATGGAAGACTTGCGCTTCTCCTTGGCGTCCTTGCGGGGCTCGCCGTTGGTGGGAGAAGCGACGGCAGCGGTGGTCTCAGTCGTCTCAGTAGGGACAGTGGCGGGGGAGCTCACTTCGACAGCAAGAGGGGTGGTAGACTCGACAGGAGGGATAACGGGAGCAGACTCAGTGGTAGCAGCAACCTCCTTGGGAGACTCAGCCTCATCGGCCTTGGGCTCAGCGGCCTTCTTGTCCTTCTTGGAGAAGACATTGCCGAAGAAGCTGTTGCGCTTGGAAGCCTTGTCCTTGGGGCTCTCGACAGGCTTGGCCTCCTCGGGCTTAGCCTCCTCAGCAGCGACGGCGGGAGTCTCCTCTGGCTTGGTCTCAGCAGCGACGACGGGAGTCTCCTCAGCCTTGGTTTCCTCAACGGCGGGGGTCTCCTCAGGCTTAGCCTCCTCGGCCTTGACCTCTTCCTTCTTTTCCTCCTTCTTCTCTTCCTTGGACTCCTCCTTCTTGCTGTTGAAACCAGCGAAGCCGAAGAAAGAAGATCGCTTCTTGTTGGCGGGCTTGGGAGACTCGGCCTTCTTCTCGGCCTTCTCCTCGGGCTTGACCTCCTCAGGCTTGGCCTCTTCGGCAGCGGCAGCGGGAGTCTCCTCAGTCTTGGCCTCCTCAGTCTTGGGGGCCTCCTCGGTCTTAGCAGCCTCAACAGGCTTCTCCTCCTTCTTGACAGGAGCGGGCTTGAAGCTCTCCAGGGTCTTCTTGTAGGTCTCAGACTCGGTGACGGTGGTGGCAAGCTCCTTGGCCTCGGCGATCTTGAGCTTCAGCTGGGCGACCCAGTTGTCACGCTCAGCAGCAGAAGTAGCCTTGAAGCTGTGCTTGTTACCCTTGGAGGTCAGGGTGAACTTGTGGGTGCCATCGGTCTCGGGCTCAGAAGCGTCAGACTATTCTCTTGTTAGTGTAGTTCTACTCTCTCTACCGGCAAGCGTGCATACCAGGTTGATGATGCCGGTAGGGGCCTTCTTGTCACCAATGAACAGAAGACCCTTGGCGGTCTCGGTGGCCCATGCAATGTTGGCGTGGGCGGTCTCAGCAGACTTCTCGGTTCGCTTGTAGGCGGCAAGAGCCTTGGCCTCGAAAGCCTCAGCGCCGAAGAAGAAAAACTCCTTGCTGGCAATCAAGTTCCTGTTGTCACCTGTTAGTCTTGCTCTGGCGCACTTCCTGTTTCATTGCAGTAAACGTACTTGGGGAAGCTCAGGCCCTGGGCCTTGTGTCCCAAGTGGCCCTCCTCGACGGGCTTGACCTCCTCCTTCTTCTCCTCAGCCTTAGTCTCCTCGGCGGGCTTGGCCTCCTCGGTGGCCTTCTCCTCGGTCGTGGTGGCAGCAGCGGTCTCTACTGCGGGAGCAGGGGTCTCCTCGACCTTGGTCTCGGCAACAGCCTCAACCTTGGGAGCCTCAACAGCAGGGGTGGTCTCCTCGACCTTGGTGTCCTTGAGGACCTCGACGTTCTTCTGTTCTTCGGCCATGGTGAAAGGGAATGGGTTTGGGTATCTCGAGATGGGTATCACAACAAGCAGTAGGGGGTATTAAAAGAAAAAGAAATAAAGAAATCGTAATCCAGAAAAGGTCGAGACCTGGGAATGCTGTGGGGATTGATGGTGATTCTAGGTGGAAGGAGGAGGAAGAAGAGGGAGAGGAAGCAAAGGGGTTCGCTGGTCGGGGCACGTATTTATCTGCCAGGTCTTGCTCGCTCGGGGAGGGCGGGCGAGCTTGTAGAGAGCACGTACTGTGGTGCTGTTCGGCGGCCAGAGGAGCGAGCAGGGCAGACAACGGCGTGGTCCACTATTAGGTTCAGTCTAGTATTTTCATGGAACCCTGACTGATCGATTGGCCAAATGTGATCTGCCTGGTGGACAAGGGGGGGAGGGGTGGCCAGGAGAATGGAAAGGGAGGGTCGACGCGAGCCAGAGCAGGGCAGCGGGTGATCAGTTGTGCACGTTCGGTTCGGGGAAAGGCTGCAACGAATAGTGATGTATGTACCTGCTCCTGGCCACTCTGCTCCCTAGGTACCGCCGCCAGCAACCAGTCTGGCATCTGAACGCTCAGATGCAGCGGCTAGCAGGCACTGATGTCCAACGCAATGTCCGACGGCGGTACGAGGCAGGCACTGAGATTGAACGGTTGGTAGGTGCCTGCACACCCAGCATGAGGCAGGCCGGGCTGGGAAATGGACGGATGGATACGAGGGCCGCCACAGTCAGGCTCTGCTCTCCTATCATCCTACCTCCAGCCGGCAACGCTCTGGGCACGGTCCACGCATAGGTATACCTGCGATGGCAATAGTACGAATATACGTCCCCTCCTCTTTCTTTTTCCTGCCTAGTTGACGGCCGGCAAGTCCTGGTCCCTGAACGCTGCAGTTTCTGCCAGCAAATGATCTGCTTTGCCTCCTCCCCTTATTAATTAACTCCCCTTTTGTCGACCACGCCGATCCGGGAGAGGAGCCCTCACCACCTGGTGAACGCACTGGACTGACTCACCTGAAGCAATTTGTTGTGGTAGCACGCCGTTGATACTACCCAAGTACAGTGCATCGCCGCCGGCGCCTTTGTGGCTAACACGTGCTGAGGCTCCCTCAGCTGGCGCCACACTGGCAATCACTTGGTGCTAAATAAATTCTAATTGCCATGGATGAAATTGTTTCCACTGGCCTGCTTTGGGCACTGACTGCTTGTGGATTGAGAGCACAGACTCTCCACATGGGATCATCAGGACGCCGTCGTAGCTACCGTTTCTTCAGTGCCTGCTGGGTCGCATCAGGTGTGAATGCGACGTGGAGGTCTGCTCTGCTACCAGTACTTGGCTACCTAGGTACATGTCCAGCCAGCCATAGCCACCACCAGGCACATACTATGTAACAACATCAGTGCAGACGCTGGACTCATTCAGAGGCCTGACGCGAGTGTGACTGGACGTTGCGAAAAGCTGAGGTAGTGGTAGCTTGAAGCTCTGTGGGTTGCAGTAGCGCCCTTCGTACCTATCAGGCCCCCCACTGTGGGTGGTCGAAGCTCCTGGCGCGCACTGCAGAGCCAAGCCAACCGCACCCACAAGGGCCCTCCAGAGTCGTGCAAGGCGGCCAGGAAAAAAAATTAGGCTCCTCCACCCACTGTTTGGGGGAAGGAAAAAAAGCTGCAGCACCCGACCCCACCTGTAATGCAAGGTTGCTTAGTGAAGTCATGGCCCGTGCTGCATTAAGCGAGTGGGTACTGAAATTTGCTGCCCCCGGCGCTAAGGACCGCCTTATGAGACCAGCAGGGACGACAAAATTATGCGACTGCTCAGGTGTAATTTGCCTTGGCCCAATGAGCGCATCCTCATCCCAGGGCCAAGATACCTCCACCCGCCCCTTTGTGTGCAAATCCCGGGCATGAATGATGATGCTATCTGCATGAACAACGAGCCCAAGGGAAGGACTTGACTTGTGTCCAGCGCCCAGCGTGCCCCTCGCGATCGGCGTCGCAAGCGTTGTTTGACATCTCCAGCACCTGGCCTTGTCCCTGCCACCAGCAGCAGCGAGCTTTTCCCCTGTCCCAAGGTGGCCGGTGATAATAACAGACACAGGTAAGGTGAGCTGCTAGATGTACATCCATACATACTGCTATGTACATCAGGCATGGATGTTTACACTACGACCTTGCTTGCCGGCCCCTTACCGTGTATGCACAGTAGATGTACGACCCAGGGCCTCCCATTTGTTCATCTCATTCTCACCGAGATGCGAGCACTGAGTCACGGCCAGCAATTTTGTCTCTCCCCCTAGAGGAATACTTTGCCTGCTAGCTGGCTGCTAGCAAGTATTAATCGTTATTAGAGTCGTCTAACCACAGCGGACGGCATTTTGATACGGAAGGTCGTGTCCACTTCTTTTTTTGGCCAGCCGCGATTCACTCCACTCTTATTAATGATCAGAGCTTACCTTCTAGGTAGCGCTGCGGTAGTGCGCCGTGCGGAACCAGCAAGTCTCGGGCGCTGAAGGGGACACGCCAGTGGGACGCTAGGCGGTTTTGCCATGGGCAACAGCACCCCGAACGGAAGGAGAGCCAAGAGGAGCCCGGAGACCATCATGGGCCGTCTCCTTGATGCAATTTCTTCGGTGTACATCGTCAGAGGGGCCATCGTCACATCGACATCCTCTCCCCAATAAGCACCAGAGAACTGCCGACGACCGACGGGACTGGCCAACAATGGAGGGTACAATGCCCCCCCTTTGTGCAGTAGACTTTCATTGCAGGCATACATCCGAGTCGTACAAAAGGGCATCTACACACATCCATCATCCCATGTATGCACAGTGGTATCACTGGCCCGTCATGTGGGTATTTTATTATGACAGTGCTACGTGAAAAAACCCTTCAGAAGGCCCTGATCCCGCCCTCTACCTCCATCTTCACGCCACTCTGCGACCACCCCCATTGGATTCTGGCATACACTTTGGCACTGTAGCAGGTGGCCAGAGCGCACGTGCACTATCTGCAACATGTAGGTACACTCCGCCTTGCCCTCCATTAGTCAGAGCGCCAAAGCGAGAAACAGAAGAGGTGAGACGTCATGCTACGGTCCCAGTGCATGCTGCACGCTGATGCACGAGGTCACCAGCCAGGCCCAAATGTGACCGATTCCAAACAGGTTGCTGATAATCAAATGCCATGGCGGAGCCCCAATCAAAAGCCGAGAGCTACACTCCTCCGTTCTTCATAAGTGGGGTGTTGAGGCTCGATGTGAGTGGGGACAACGATGCGATGGCGCCACCAGCACTAACAGACAATACCTATCTCCAACCATCATTGCTGAGAGCGTCGCAGCGAGCAGCGTCGCAGTTTGGTAGCTACATGCTGGATGAAATTGCGGACCAGCTCTTTTCATGTGCTGCCCGGTGCCGAGACGACAGGAGCCAAACCCAACAGAAACGCCATGTCCTCGGCAGCACACCGCACACAAGTTCCCCAACACCATGACCAAAGCTGTGCCAGCTTGTATCTTGTATGTATTATTTCCTCCTTCTCTTACTCTTGGCGTAGGGTAGACGCAAGGTGGGTCTTACTGAACATTGTCACGGGAACCATCTTCTGGCACTCGATAGCACACCATCCTCCCACACCAGGACGACAACTGACGGAATACCAGGAGCGTTAGCTCTAAGCCACCCGCTAGCTGGTGTGCTTCAGCATCCATGTGACTTGTGCCTTAGTAGTGCAGCTGGGCCAGCGGCTGGCAAAAGCTCTTGTGCGTCGACGTGTGTATTGCATTCTTCGCATTGCACCTGCATCACTTGTGTGGGATGGATGGCAGATTTACGTGTGCATGAGAGCGGAATTGGCCACATTTGATGCAGAGATGGCCTGGTCGCCCACCGCTGATTGGCCCCAGCAGATATGGGGTGTCTCATCTCCCACCCGCGGCTGAGACATCGAACACTGGGAGCCGGGACCAGTTCGTGAAGGGTTAGCTGGCTGTGGTTTCTTCGGGCCATCCAAGGCACTCGCTACATAGTACGTGTATTGCGCTGGCCTCTCTCTCGGCACGGTGATGGGAATAGATGTAGCACGACGAGACGAGAGGGCTAGTGCCCAGAGCTGAGCGACGACTATCATAAGAATGAGCACTAGCTCGCGACGGAGTGCAAGGCCCTGGCCACAGCAAATCAATCGAGATCCACCAAGTTGCACCCACCTTTGCTTGGCCCGTAGCAACCCTTATTATCGAATCCCTGCCCCTCAACGGTTGTCGTCTCATGGTGCTGAAACAGGCCTTGCTCGCCTTCGTAACGGCAGCTCCTCCCAACCGACGTGCCGCTCATCAGCAGACACCATAGCGCAAGAAAACACCATAATCGCCTAATGGAACCGACAAGGACATCATGGTCACGGCCAGTCTTCCCCAGCTCCCGCCTCGGCCCTGCCTGCGAATACAACCCCGAATCTCCCCTAGCCACAGCCAAGTACGAATCCTTCTGGGGGTAGAGGAACTATCCCACCCTTGCCCTGGCCCGTTCAAGACAATCGTACCCTATCTATCCAGCTAGCCAGTCATAAGATCCAGCAAATTTCCACCGAAAACGACCGTGGTGACTGGGCTCGGAGCTAATGAAACCTCATTTCTTGACACGACAAGCGCCCACAGGAGTATTTTGAACGCTATCTTAGGGTGGTGTCGGCCCAGCCACATCGTCCCTTGATTAATATCGTCGAATTGTTATTCTATTTTACTCTTTTCGTACTTCCAGCCAGTACCTGGTGGCTGAAACATATATTGGCTTCCCTGCCGCTGCCTTCTCCACCAAGTCATCTCATGCCCGGCCCGCCATCTGCCGATTTGTTGGTTTGTATGTAATTATGTTGTACGTAGCAGCCCATGGCACATACATTATCTGCAATGCACCAGCAGGCGGCAAGGCAAGAGGCCGTCGATCCAATCGCGCTGTCCACTTGACCTCCAGCTGCATACTACATACATGGTACATATCGAATTCTGCCTGGCGGGGGCGCGTGCTAGTCCTCCTAATTAGCCAGCAACATCACCTCGACCGCTCCTTTGTCCGACATTTGCTCGCCGCTGATCATAGCTCCATCCCTCTCGATATGGAGTTTTTTTCTTTGCAAATGTGCCTCTGGGCCGATGCCGCATGCACAAAAACACTAACGATCGTCGCGGAAGTGCGACCCCATACCCTGAAGGGGAGGGGCAGTAAACCAGGATGTTTCCTCCATTCCCTATAACATCCGATATGATAGACCCAACACAGGCTTGACAGGCCCCCCTCCACCATTTGCCCTTGAGCCTGTAGGATCTCATGACACACCCTCTCCTCGCCGTCTCCCAGACTAATTATCTCGACTTCTTGACCGCAACTTCTGTCTTGGGACGGTAGTCCGGAAAGATAGTCGCTGCAGTCCGGGTTACTCATAAGTGGGCAGAAGCTCCCCGTCACGATCCTTGCCCATGTCATCAAATCCCGATCGTGTCGCATTGCGCGGCAGCCAGGCCAGTCAGTCCGGCTCGTCCATTGCTCAAAAAGGATAGTGAACTAGCCCAATCAAGGACCGATGTCTACTATGCATGCAGTTGCATACACGTACTTCGGACACTTCCACAAGCAAAATGTTCACTGGCAACTGTCACAACGGAATCATGACCTCGGGACACAAGATGCGACATTGACATTGGCAAGTGAAAGCCAAGGATGTAATCTTCGTAGTCAGATGGGCGACCCAATCCCCCAGTGTTGAACGCCGACTCAACGAGGGAGGTTTACTAGCAGCCGAGTTTTGGACTGAGGAATAATGAAATAAGCTTAAGTTGACCAAGATTTCAATACGTTCATGTGTTTGTCTTGAGAATCGAACGTTTGGCCATTGTGCATATACTATGTACCTATGCCTAGGGTAGCGGCCTTTGTTAGGCCACTCGGTTACTCTTCACCAACTTGTGGCACTGAGCCACCGTACATTATTTATTAGTAGGTTTCCTTTGGTTTAGCCAGAGCCTTAAGAAACCTCGAGAATATGTAATCAAGTAGACGGCGAGATAGGCGCAGCAAGAATGTTCTCCAACCCCAATAACAAGCCCATCTCAGGCGAGATGCCACGAGCCTGGGAGGAGGAAGGTGCACCGCAACCATCAATAATTAATGATATCGTGTTTATTGTTCAATTCGAGGTTATATAAGGCTGCCTGCGTGACGGACCAGCATTTCACCAATCATCTCCCTCTTCTCTCCTCAAGTGTGATAGAAGTGACCTAGGAAGAAACACAAGCCACTCCAGCCACATCGGAAACTCACGCAACAATAAGGGAAGCACCGTATTGTGGTGCGCAGAGTTGCTATTCAACAACCGGTGTTTTCAGAGAACAATAGGTAAGTGTGGTGGGCTGAAGTACATCAATCTGTCACGGTTTCACCTTGATCTGAGTTTCGACTGAGGGCTGCCCTTTGCCTACGCTGGACCGCCCAAGTTCAGCGGCGGCAGGTGCAATCGCTTCTCACTTGACTATTGAACACCCTGAACAATGCTGCCAGGTGCAGATGCCTCGCACTCAATAGAATTTTCCCATCCACCTCTCTACCAGCATTTATTCCATCACCCACCTACATATTCCACCCACCAACCTATCTACATACTCCATCTACACACTTGTTCAATATCCCACCACGCCAGGAAAGAATCTTTCCACCCCAAAAAATTAGACCGAAGACCTCTATCAAGATTCATGATGGCTAAGAAAAGGCCAAACAGGAGTCAGAAGGCCAAGGCCGACGGCCAGCCAGAAAACCAGCCTGCTGCCGCACCTGGAGCCCAAGCCCAAGAAGAAAATCCGCTGCAACAACGATCTGAGAACATAACTATCGAATCTGGTCGACCTCCTCGCAGGAAGGGTAAAGGGCAACACCAGCCAAAGACATCTGGGCCCAATCCTGACATTGTACCACCCCGTAACCAAGGTAATCGGGCTCCCAGGTTCCAGCCGAACCAACCCCGACGGAATCCCCAAGATCCGCATCAAGGAAACCAGCAAAACCGTCCCCAGACAAATCACCAAAATCCTACCCAAGGAGACAGGGCAAATCAGCCCCGTCAAGGTCGAAACCAGGCTCGGAAGCCAAAGACTCCTGCGCTGCCGCCGACACCCAACGATCAACCATCATCGTCACACCAAGCGGATCAAGCGCATCCTCAACCTCCTCGTGCCTTAAACATGTCTAGAAGAGGCCGAAGCCAAAGGGGCCGGAGAGATAATGGGCCCCAGAATGGCAACTCCTCTGGGCCCAGTTCCATTGCGGCGAGAAACACTCAAAGCGACGGTAAGTCCACACGCACGAAACCCACACTGAGCATGGGATCGATGCTAACACAGCCAGAAATTGAGATCTACGGCATTGCCCAGTCCACTCAGAGGCTGGAGAAGTTTGGCTTCCGCCCTGAAGTCACTTTGCTCAGCACGTCTGAGTATTATAAGACTTGGGAGAAAATGGCGAAGGCTCGTTCATCTAAGCCATCACGAGCAGAGCTTTATGATGTCGCTGATGGCATTCAAGGCGCACTTGGACTTCGGTCTCGAGATTTAACTTTGGTAAATAATCATTCCTCCCTTTCCAGCTAAGTTTCCATGTGGCATCGAAACTAACTTGATTACTAGGCAACACTCGTCTTTGATCCTAGTTCATCCTTGGGTTGGCGCTACATCAAGACTGCCGTAAAGGGGAGAGACCACACTGGTTTGTTGGGCTTACTCTACACAGGTGGTATCAGTCCTACACTTGGCGAGCAAATTTTCGCCTCTGGTCTCAAGACAGTTCAGAGCCTCTCACTAGCATCCTTGACAGCATGGGATGCCATCGTCAATGCTTCGGTAAGTGATTGTCCGCTTTCTAACTGGGATTCAAAGGCTAACTTTTTCTATCCAAGAATATCTGGAACTTTCTTTCCCGAGACTTCCATACTCAGGGCCACAATGGTGTATTCCTAGTAGTCACACCGGAGTACGCTGTTGGCGACTTCCTTCGAGCTCGAGACCTCGATCCCTTGAGTCTGAACCCGACAAACCCTGTGCGGGGTTGGTTTGGCAAAGTTATCGACGAAGAACTAGAAATATTCACCACGATCAACAGAGTTCATAGTCTCATTGAGAAGAAACAACTTGATCACGCTTTGATTGCCAGTATGAGCCCCAGCACTGTCACGGTAATCAATGAGTTGTCAACTACAAAAGACATCTGGCGCCATAGGCAATTTGTTTGGACTGATCCAAGAGCAGTGTTTGAACCGCAGCATAGAATGCTCGGAAACTGCCTCAAAACAATGAGTGAGTACCTATCTTGATGAAGCATATGCTGCGCCGCGATGAATATACTAACCGATACACAGTTCGCAAGCTATATCAGCACCGCCAAGGTGTCAAAATCCTTCATTTTGAGAAGACACCTCTTCTTGATCGACGGATGCTTGCGATCATCTTGCGTGGGTTACCCAAGGTCACCATGATTGGGGTTTACGACTGTCCTCTTATTCACTTCGGCGACGTCATTTGCATCTTGGATCTGATCCACGAGATCAACCTGAGCCGCCGTGAAAATGGGCTTCCATTAATCGACTCGTTCGATTTTCGCCCTCACTATGAGAATGGAATGCCGTTCGCCGAGGCGAATTCCGCCTGCTATGGCCTTACATGGGACCCTTTGAGACTCGAGGTAGTCCAGCGCGGGTTCTACAATATTATTCTCAAGGCGTTCTTAAAGTCTCGAGCCATGAACCTGAAGCTATTGTTTGACAGAGATGGCCCCTTCAGAGATTTCTTGTTCCAGGTGCCAAATCTCCCCTTTGGGGTTCCCTGCTTTTTGGATGGTTTGTACCGTTATGTCGACATCCAAGGCGATTCTTTCAGGGCGCAGAGGGAAAGGAGAAGGGCTTTGTTTGACCTGCTCAAGCCTATTCGCCTGCACCTGGATGACACCTGGGATAAAGATTGGCCGTCGTGGTACCTTAAGGAAATGGGAAGAACCCTGGTCACTTGTGCTTCCTGCGGCTACGAAACTCTAGGAGAGTTTTATCCGGTAGACATACGCAATGCAGGAGCCGACCATCAAATCTGTGCTGGCTGTACCCTTCAGAGATGGCTTGATAAGCAAGCGCATCACTTGCGCCTCGTCAAGTTGGACAACCTGAAGGTACTTTTCGCAGCTTGGGATAGTTGTGATTTTAATCTATATGCCCCTGTTGATGCGGGCGCCAGCGCGATCCTGAACTTGAAGGTCGGGAGAATAGCCAAGCCGGGGGACACGGCCCAACCGCATCACAAACAAAGCAAGATGAATTTCGACTCTCTCCAGAATCTACCGTCTCTAGAGAAGCTGGGTGACCTATCCGGAGAGTCTGAGCTCATCTGGCGCAAGTTTATGTTTGAGTGTGAGCAGACTGACCTCTTCTGTCGAGTCGTTCGGATGTTGTGTGCCAAGAAGAAACCAGGCAAGGGGGATGAGTTCCTGACTTCATTTGCCCCGACTCATACTCCAGATCATGTAGAAGAAACGCAGAAAGCGAGACTCCGTACCTATGAGCGTCAGAGTCATGATTTCAAGACCGTCATGGACTTGCATGTCGGCCATGTGGAGAAGCGTTGGGCCCCTGGGGTACCCAAGGGACTCAAACCAACTTCTATACCTGGATTCTGGTAGAAATTGGCGGGCTATGAGCCGGACGGAAGCACACTGTGATGAATAGTGGATTGGGAAGGTTATTGCCGGCAGTGGCGGAGGACCGCAGAGGGCGGTATCACGGCATTGTCGTTGAAGATTGGCAGGTTGTGGAATTGACAGAATTGACAGCAAGGTTTGCAAGACTCGATTTTGTTTTGGGGGGCTGAAGGGAGATCTCTTCACGACTATAGGAGAGACCAAAACGTGTTGAGAGAAAAGCAGTGGATTTGAACACTGGATGATATTACCTGCATCCAAAAGTTTGGCATTCTAGTTCGGGTAAGTCTATGAAGAATACAGTGGTAATAGCTCATAGGGCTCAAAGGTCGAGATAGTAATAAAAACTCGTGCAAGATAAATAACCGAGATATGTAAAGTGATTTACCAACATGCTCACTCATTGACGTTTTGACGTTGATGTAGGCATGCAGCTTAAGAGTGGTGTAGGTTAGCATCTTCCCACCAAGGACCCGATAGGCGAGTCACGTGTTGAGGATTCCGGGAAAAGTTCAAGGTGCCAAGGCCATCACCACGCAGCAGCAGCTATCACGACAGCGGTCCGCCCAGACACTCACAAAAGGCAAAATGGCGTCCTTATTACGATCCGTCTCATTGAGGGCGGCGCTCTTCGCCCCGCACCGGGCCATTGGGTCCTTTCTGGGCCGTAGCCTGGCAATCAACATGCCCTCGATGCCGGCGTTCGGCATGGGGCTGCTCCAGCAAGCGCAGCAGACGAGGGGGATGAAGGTGCGCAGCGCCGTGAAGAAGAGATGCGAGCACTGCAAGGTAAGGAGGACCTTCTCAGCCTAAGCCGGGCGGGCAAGTTTGGCGGCGCACTGGGGGTTTCGATGGGCTGACTGTTTGGGCAGGTCGTGAGAAGGAAAGGCGGCAAGCGACACAATGGCTACCTCTACATCATCTGCAAGTCGAACCCGAGACACAAGCAAAGACAGGGATAGAAGGACGATTTATGATCAAGCGAAACCAGAGAGGTTGGAACTGGGGGCGAGAAGGGGGGGGGGAATGCGGAATAGAGAGCATTGTACGATACGACCCCGACTTTTCTTACGCGGGACGACCAGTTTTCCACATCATCGAAACGGAATACACCTGGGCATCAATGGGAGTACGGGATTGGGGACCTTCCTGCCCTGTTTGCTCTGCGAGAGGTCGGTAGGAATTTCGACCAACGGACGCTTTTAGACGCTGCATATGGGAGACCTGAGGGGGGATCGGGTCCATCCTGCTTCACTGTATTATCTACAACCCAAACTCAATATGATGAAGATTGTTTTCTTCTCGCATATTTTTTTTTTACATATGGTCTATATAACGCTCCATTGTCTCCCACTCAGTCTTGCCAGTTGATAATAGGTATCTGATATGGGACTGCCACCCGGGGTGTTAGCTGAAGGATCACCAGGTTCCCAGAAATATAGAGGTGAATGCTGTTATAGGAAAAAGGGCATAAGGAGAAGGAGAAACGTACAAGGTCGGTGACGTTACGATGGCGCTCAAACTCGTCACGAGCGTATTTCCTGGATTCGGCCTTGGTGGTCGGGTCTTTTATCCGCTTGATCCCGCGCAGGATTGTTCTGTAGAAGGCAAGGGTCCGCGATCGTTGAAGGAACTGCACAAAACCGAGAAAATCAGTATTTTAATCATAAAGAGCCCCGAGTTTGAGGCACTCGGTCGGAGCGGATATTCGTGGTGGGGGAATATAAGCCTTGTCATGGGTGGACGAACATTTTCCAGGCTCAGTGCGCCATCGAGCCGCTTCGAGGTTCGCCGCGTCGCGGTGGCGAAGCCGCGGCTGCGAAACAGCAATCGGGCTCCCGTGAGCATCTAGGTCACCTCATCAAGTTGGAAAACAAATGAACTTTATGATTGAGTTGGTGCAGGGAACATTTGAGATCGCGAAATTCTTGAGGGCAGGGCCGCTTTGGAGCCTACGGACAAACCTCGGGTATGGGGGATTGATTTTCTGTCGTGGCACGTTTAACGTTGTTCAACGCGTACTTATAAGCCGGGATTCAGTAGGCGTCATTGAAGGAGAAACAACTTGAGAACTTTCAATTACACATATTCGACTAGAAGCTATCGAGTTATCGATATATCTGCCTCAGCAAAAGGTTGCCGTCATGTCTAGCGCGGGATCTACGTCTCAGCGCGGCCTGAGGAAGACGAGATCAGCGCCCAAGGTCAACCATCTTGAGATTGCCAATGAGAAAACAGATGCCGAGTTCATTGAAGAGTATATGCGTCCAAGGTGAGTTAGAAAGTTCCCACCCTCTTACGGGCTGTTCGGCGTGGGCTAAGTGCTTCTTCTCCAACACCTAGCGAGAACTGGACCCAATGGACTCATCCCACTTCGGAAAGGAAATACACGCTGAATCTACTTGGCGTGGCGCATCTCACTGATGCCGAGTTAGAAACATGCTACAACCTGATTGAGAAGACGAGTGGAGAGGACTATCGTAACTCGTCCTCCGGGTGGCACCCCGTGGCAAAACGGAAAGAGATGCGGTCGCCAGGTCTGCGGTACATTCTTATCCAGGCCGACCCCGGGGAAGAAAATGACGACACTGCAATCCGAGGGTTCATGTCCATCATGCCAACGGTCGAGAATGGCGAGCCAGTGGTGTATGTGTATGAGGTGCACCTGGAAACAGAGCTTCAAGGGTGAGTGGCAGGACCAAAGTCCCAATGGGGAAATGTTAAAAACATCGTTTTTCAGGGCTGAATTCCTGGGAATCGATTGGATGGTCCCCCAGCCTCGCACCCCTGACACACTTACTGATGACCTAACAGGACCCGCCTCGGGAAGCTCCTGATGGAATACGTGCGGGTGATAGCCGAGAATATCCCTAGTGTAGAGAAGGTGATGCTCACATGCTTTGTTAGCAATGAGCGTGCAAGACGTTTCTATGGGAAGATGGGCTTTGACCTGGACGAGTCTTCGCCAAGAGACAGAAAGCTAAGAGGAGGAAAGGTAGTGACGTCAGATTATGTCATCCTGAGCCATAGAACAAAAGATAAGGATAAGGAACGGAGGCGGGACCTGTAAGCCGATGCTTGAGTTGATGAGCAAGGCTGGCAATGCATTTTCCATAGATACATGTGTGGCAGCATAGCATTGCCATGAAGCGATGGTTTCAATGTGATTTAAGGAAGCAATCTTGATCAGTCAGGGGATCCCGAGATAACATAACGGTACTTGACGCGAACATCCATCATGAACTTGGTCCGCACTCCACCTACCCTGCCTCATTGCACAGGGAACGAGTGCTTGGAGGGAGCTAAATCCAGATGATGAAAGGGCTGCTGGCTGGACCAATGGAGGCCATGTGGCAGCAGCATCGCCATCCCAATCTTAACGAAGCAGTCGAGGGTATCGCCCGCCCCGGCAGATTATTTAGTGGATAATGTTTGCATACTTGCCTAAAACGGGTGGTATTGACCGGCGCCCTGCCTTAAAGATCTTGAGCATTGACGCAGCGTTGGGCCTGACCCTGGCTTAAACCGACGTCGCTCTGTAGATCCTGGAGAATTCTACCACCTCTGGGCATAAGGATGGCACCAAAGTAGTGACTAGGCATATTTAGATAGTTTTCTGTGCAAGACCTGCAATATTAATAGAGGCTCTCCCGCTGTCTTTCTTTCACATGCTTCCCTCTACAGCTCTGTACTTCCTCTACAGCAAGTCTTCCAAAGATCCAAGCAATATCTCCTGCTTGTAATTTTCTCTTCATCCTTCTCAATTGACCAAACGTCTCATAAACAATATACAACATCAGCCTCACAATGGCCTCTGGCTGGACATTCCCTCTCTTTGCCTCGTGCAACCCCGTGGAGACTTGCTGCAAGGCCCCATACTGTATGTCAGAAGCCATCACAACCCCAAGCTGACACTCATCGCTGACCTTTATCATCCAATAACAGTATATGGACGTGCCCACGAGCGTCTTCGCAATCCGCAGCTTCACAACTACGACGGCAAAAATGAAGAATGCAAAAGTTGCTTCAACAAGTCCTTTTGGATCGCCCCGTGCATCGGCTGCCAGTAAGTCTGGTATACTTGGAGTAGAAGTAACAGATCTCCGCTAACCTTTCCTCCTCTGTAGCCAAATATACCACACCCGCCTCCATATCCGTGAGAAGTACGGCATTGAGGGAAGCAATGGAAAGGACTGCGCCACCTCGTACTTCTGCTCTTGCTGTGCCCTTCAGCAGCACGACTCCGAGATCGCCCATCGCAACGAGAAGGGAACGGAGAATGTCGACAAGACTGGCTACAAGCCCCAGCCGAACGCCATGATTATGCCTGAATGAAATTTAGGCTCTTCAAACTAGTAATATCCAGTGGCTTTTGTCACTTATATGATTAAAAAGCGATATGCGGCCAGGTTGGTGTGATCTCCCCTCCCTACAAGAATGGGGAAGTGGGAACGTGACGAACTGCACACCTGGAATCTCATGTCGGGATTTCTGCATTTTCAGCGGCATCATTTTTCTAGATCGCATCTTTGATTTACAAGTGTTATTCTAAGCCAGAGATACCAATTTATTTCATGAAAAGAGACGGAAAATCAGAGAGATGTGTTCTAGTTTCCGATAAATTTAGTAGTTGATTCCAGCAGGATCGAATGTCAAGAATTTGCCATTGTTCTGCTATCTCTAATTTATTAAACTGATTTTCTGTTCAGAGTTTATTTGAGCTTCTGGTATCTAACTAATACTTATGATTTGAATTTGACCACGAGCTTCGGCAAAACAATAATAAATCTTTGTCCCAGAGCTCTCAACCCCGATAGCTTCAGCACTGTTCGAACCTCGGAGTGACGCGGTTCAAAATGCCAACCAGCCTGCGCATGATTAGCGGTGAATCAGACTGCAGTCCTTCCGCTGGATGGACCCTTAAATGTGACATAGGGAGTTCACTTTGGCTTTCTTGGCTGAGATGTGTCTCAAGTGATCTA